CTCTCTCTCCCCCCTGCCTACCTCCTCTGCTCCCCCCCTCCTCCGCTCTTCCCCCCGCTCCTCGGCGAGCGACGTCTCATCCTCCCTCTCCTCCCTCTCTCCCCCCCCCATCTCCTCGCACTCTCTCACCCACCTACTCCTCCCTCATCATACACTCACCTCTCTCTCCCCCCCCACCTCTCCTCCTCTCCCCTCATTTCACCCCCTCCTCTCCTCCTCCCACATATCTCTCCCCCCCTCTCCTCCTCTCTCTCCCCCTCGTCCACCTCTCTCACTCCCCCCTCTCTCCTCCTCGCTCACGCTCTCCCCCCCTCTTCCTCCTCTCCTCACTCCCCCCATCTCCTCCTCTCTCTCTCCCCCCTCACCTCCTCTCTCTGTCCTCCTTAGGGGGCTCTCCGATCCCCCCCCTCGTCCTCCTCTCATCTCTCCCCCCCCTCTCCCTCCTCTCTCTCCTCCCCCCCCCCCTCCCTCCTCTCTCTCCTCCCCCCCCCCTATCCTCCTCTCTCTCCTTCCTACACCCCCCTCTCTCTCTCACTTGTCTTGAATATCCTCTACCACCCCCCCCTCTCTCTCCTCTCTCTCTTCCAGAGCGCGATCGCCACGCGCATCTCCCATCTCTCTCCTCCCCCCCCCTCTCCTCGCTCTCTCCTCCTCCTCCCCATCTCCTCCTCCTCTTACCTCCCCTCCCCCTCTCCTCCTCTCATCTCCTAATCCCCCCCTCACTCCTCCTCTCTCTCCTCCCCCCCCAATTCTCCTCCTCTCTTTGTCCTCCCCCCCCTCTCTCTCTCCCCCCTCTCATCCTCTCTCTCTCTCCCCCCCTCTCCTCATCCCTCTCCCACACTCGCCTCTTCTCCTCTCCTCTCCCCCCCCTCCTCTCCTCTCGTCGATCCCCCCACCCCTCCTCTCCTCTCATCCTCCCCTCCAACCCCTCCTTCCTTTCCCTCCCCCCAAAAAGTCCCATCCGTTCCCCCCCCCCTCCTTAGCATCCGCTCTACCTCCCCTCTCCCTCATGCTCCTCCCTCCCCTCTCGTCCTCCCCTTCCTCCCATCCTTAATGATCCCTCCCTCTCTCAGCCCTCCTTCCCTCCCCTCCTTTCTCATGCCTTCCTACTGATACCGCTCCCTCTTCCCTCCTTCCCTCCCTCTCTCTCCCTCCTTTCCCTCCATTCCCTCCCATCATCCTCCCATCCTTCCCTCCCTCTCCTTGATCCCTGTTATAGCTTCCCTCCCTCCTCCCTCCGCTCTCCCTCTCCTCCTCTCTCCTCCTTCTCCTTCTCTCCCTCATCCACCCAATCCTTCTCATCCCTCATCATCCTCCGTCCTTCTCTCCCTCTCCTCCCTCCCTTCGATTCCCGCCGCCTCCCTCCTTTCTCTCCCTCTTCCTCCCTCCTTTCTCCCTCATTCCTCCCTCCTTCCTTCCCACTCCTCCCTCCTGTCACTCCCCTCTACCTCCGGGACTTCCCTTCTCTCTCCTCTCCTGCCCTCCTTCTCTCCCTCTCCTCCCTCGCTTCTCCTCGCCATCTCCTCTCCTCGTCCCATCCTTCCTTCCACGATCTCCTCTCCCTCCATTCTTCCCTTCCCTCTCCTCCCATCCTATCTCTCCCTCTCCTCCCTCCTTCTCATCCCGTCTCCTCCTCCTTGTTCCTTCTCTCCCTCTCCTCCCCTCCTTCTCTCCCTCTCCATCCCTCCTTCTCTCCCTCTCCTCTGCCTCCCCTCCTTCCCTCCCCCTCCTCCTCCATTCCCACCCCCCCATCCTCCCTCATCCTCACTCGCCTGTCTATCTTCTTCCCTCCCTCTCCAACCTCCTTTTTCCCCCTCCCTCTATCTCCTCCCCCCCTCCCTCGTCCTCCCTCCCTCTCCTTTCCCCCATGACTCCTGTCGTATCCTCCCCCCCTCTCCGACTTGTCAGCTCCTCCCCCCCTCAAACCACCTTTTTTACTTGCGTCTTTCTTCTCCTCACCCCCTCCTCCCCTCTCCTCCTCCCCTCCTCCCTCTCCTCCTCCCCCCACCCTCCTTCTTTCTCCTCCCCCCCTCCTCCCTCACCTTCCTCCCCCCATCCCACCCTCTCCTCCTGCCTCTCCTCTCCCTCTCCTCCTCCCACTCCCCCCCTCCCTCTATCCTCCTCCCTTCCCCCCTAACATTCCCTCTCCTCCCTCCTATCCCCCCTCCTTCCTCCCTCCCCTCCGGCATGCCTTGTCCCACCCTCATCCTCCCTCCCTCCTGCACCTCCCTCCCCTCTACTCCCATCCCTCACCCTCTCCCCCTCTCCCCTCTCCTCCCTCCCCCCCCTCTCCTCTCCTCCTCCCTCGTCCTCCGCCTCCTCCCTCCCTCTCCACCCCTCATCCTCTCCTCCTCCCACTCCTCCGCCTCCTCCCTCCCTCTCTCCATTTTCCCTCCTCTCTTCTCTCCACCCTCCTCCCTCCTCCCTCTCTCTCGCTCTCCTTCCCTCCCTCTACTCACGCCCTCCTCACCCTCCCTCTCCTTGCCTCCCCTATCCCCTCCCTTTCCCCGCAATCTCCTACTACTCCCTCACTCCGCCTCCCTCTCTTCCTCCTCCCCTCTCTCCCCTCTCCTCCTCCCCTCTCGTCCCCTCCTCCTACTCCCCTCTCATACTCCACCTCTACTCCTCCTCCCTCCCCTCCCCTCATCCTCCTCCCTCCCTTCCCCCTCTCCTCCTCCCTCCCTCCCCTCTCCATCCTCCCTGCCTCTCCCCTCTCCATCCTCCCATCCCCGCCCCTCTCCTCCTCCTCTCTCCCCTCCATCCTCCCCCACATCCTCAGCGCTCCTCCTCCCTCCCTCTCCTCGCCTCCTCCCTCTCCATCTCCTCCGCCTCCTACCTCCCTCCCACTCCATCCTCCTCACCTCTCGTCCTTCCCTCCCAACTCTCCCTTCATCTCCCCTCTCCTCCTCTCACCCTCTCTCCCCTCTCCTCCTCCCTTCCTCACTTCCCTCGTTCCCCTCCTCCCGCCTTCCCTCCCCCTCATCCGACCTCCCTCCCTCACCCTCTCCTCAGCACCCCACCTCCCTCCCCCTCATCCTCCTCCCTCCCTCCCCCTCAGTCCTACCTCCCCTCCCTCCCCTCACCTCCTTCTCACCTTCCCTCCCCTCTCCCCGTCGTCACCTGCCTTCACCCCTCCCTCCCCTCTCCTACCTCCTCCCCCCCTCTCCTCCTCCCCCACTCAACCTCCTCTCCCTCCCCCCTCATCATTTCCCTCCCTCCCTTCCCTCCCCCTCTTCTACCTCCTCCACACACCTCCCCTCACCTTCCTCCCTCCCTCTCCTCCTCCCTCCCTTCACCTCCACTCTCCTCCTCCCTCCACCCCTCCCTCCCCGTCTCCTCTCTCCACTCCCCGCCTCCCTCAATCTCCCCCATCCTCCCTCTCTCCTCCCCCTTCCCCTCCTACCTCCCATTCCGCCCCTGCCCTCTTCCTCCTCCTCACTCCCTCCCCTCCTCACACTCCCAGTATGGCCATTCACTACGTGCTGTCTCCCTATCCCTGAGCATTCTTACGAGGGTTACAACAAGAGGAAAAAATGTATTTATGTTTTTATATCTATACACTAATCTTTTTGCCTTTTCATTTCTATTTTAAACTGCGCGGGTTTTTTATTACAAGCTGAGGGTATACTTCTACTTTAAACCACTTGACCCTCCCAGAGGATTTACCTCCCTTAATGACCAGCCTCTACTTTTTGCTACTCGGGGCGCTGCACTAATTCAAGAAAACTGATAATTGGTGTGCGGCCCGTCATGCATTGCTGCACCCAAACAAAATTTACGTCCTTTTTTTCACCACAAATAAGAGCTTTCTTTCGGTGGGTATTTTGATCACCTGTGCGCTTTTTATATTTAACGCTATAAACAAATACAAAAAACGGACAATTGCGCAGTCATGCAATACGGTACATAAATGAAATTTACATCCTTTTTTTCCCCACAAATTGAGCTTTCTTTCGGTGGTATTTGATCGCCTGTGCGGTTTTTATTTTTTGCGCTATAAAAAAAAAAAGGCTGATAATTTTGAGGAAAAAAAAACAATATTTTGGACTCTTTGCTATAAAACGTCCAATAGAAAAAAAATTAAAAATCAAATTTAGTCATAAATTTCTGCCAAAATGCATTCTGCGACATGACATGTCTTTGCTAAAATGAAAACCCCAATACGTGTAAATTAATTGGTTTACGTGAAAGTTATAGCGTTTACAAATGGCGGGAAAGATACTGGATTTTTTTTTTTATACTAATAATGGCGGCGATCAGCAACTTACGGCGGCGATCAGCGACTTATGGCGGGACTGCGCCGGACATTCTGACATTGGGGGGTACTGACAACCCCAGTGACACCAATACAGTGATCAGTGCAAAAAAAAAAAAAAAAAAACACTGACACTGTACTAATGGCACTGGGGAGGAAGGGGTTAAGTTTATTATTCAGGGAAAGGGTTAACTGTGTAAGGGGAGTGTTTTACTAGGGGGCGGGGGTGTGTACTGCAGGGAACACCACTGATCGGGGGAGAGAGAAACTCTTCTGTCCCGATTAGCGTGTCCTGGAGCTGTCACAGAAATGATAGAAAGCACAGCTACTGCAGCTGTGCTCTGTCAGCGATTGCCGCCAATCGCCAGGACATAGCCGGTAACGACCGGCTGTGACCCGGCAACTGACATCCGCAGCTGTGATCGGCGGGACAGGTAGGGCGGCGGCGGCGCGCCTCACGCATGCCCCCTAGTTGTTTTCAAAACACACGTTTTAAAACGTGCTTTTGCCCAGCTGTGCCGCCCTGCCGCCGTATTTATACAGTGGCTGGGCGGCATGTGGTTAAGTCACTGCGGGTTAAAAAGAAGGGGTGAGAGGGACAAATGGGTTACAAACGGCAACTTGACACATCTGATATAAATGAATTGGTTACTGTTTTCTGAAATTCCTGTAGTTATTTGATATAGGAACTTTGTCTACTGTCAGCTGTGCCATCTTTCTGAACTATGTTTTCTCTTTCATCTAGTCATTCAGTCACTTATTGCCCTGGTCAACGATCCCCAACCAGAGCATCCCCTGCGTGCAGACCTAGCTGAAGAATACTCAAAGGACCGTAAAAAATTCTGTAAGAATGCCGAAGAGTTTACAAAGAAATACGGAGAGAAGCGACCTGTGGACTAGACATTGAGGCCAAGCGCCAACGGAAGACACACACACACACACACAAGAGTTAACACAAATTCAAAAAGCGCAACTGAAGATTTGGAGTCAGTGAGTTCAGAATCCCCTCCTTCACCCTACCCTGAAATACACATGAGGCAGGACTCCGCGGGAACATGGAACAGAGGCGCAGCATCAACCCGCGATTTACGCTAAACTCTACTGCAAACTGTTAGAGGAGGATTAAAAAAACAGTGTGAAAATGGGAGTGCAGTTCTGCTCTCTGTGTAAAAAAATATATATATATATATATCACTTCTTGCCATTCTTACTGCTGAAAATTTCATCCTTGTTCACTTTAGTCGAAAAGAAATGAGAAAAAATGACACGCAAAATTATTTCTTGAATTTTTTTTTTCTTTCTCCTTTAGGGTTTAATTGTAGCATTGCATACAATTTTTTTTTTTTTAAATCACCAGTTCATTTTGGACACATCTTAATAAAGGCCCTTTATCTGTTAGGTTTTAGTCTAACACTCCCCCTCCCATTTGTAGCCTTTTTAATGACAGCTATTTTCTGACATTTAAAGGGATACATAACTTTGGTCCATCTTGAGCCACCACAAGGGAGGGGATCATTGAACGTTCGGCTCTTAGTTTTCCTTTCAATGTTGCACTGTGCTTTTGGGACTTGGTAAGTTCTCCTTCAGTTTGTAACAAATAAAATTACATTTAAAAAAAAAAATGGAAAAAAAAAAAATCAAACTGTTGGAAATGAGCCCGTTCTTCTGTAATTCTGCCGGATGTTAAAATGTTTATTAAAGGGGTAAACCAAGCTACTGCCCTGTTGTGACTCTGTGTCTTTGAACAATTGTCAGGGTTTTTGAACGTTCTAGAGCTGCTTCGGCAGCTCTTTAGGATTGAAAATTGTTCCACGTATAGGTAACTATATTGTATTATACAAATAATTGGGCAGAGACATTTATTGATACAAGACTGCTCATTTACTTAATCCAGATTATATTTTTATTTCATGAAGTGATATAGTCTCATTTTTCACTCCTTGGTAATGGGTGTATGCTGTCAAAGGTATAGGTTTAAAAGTTTATTCTTTCAAAAACGAACAAGAAATATATAATTTAATCCTAAAGGTTTTTTAGGGTCTGTACACAGTTATGTGATGAAGCATTTACCCAGAGTAACTTAATAGGATTATACCTGTTCTTTATATGTGGATCTCATTATAGGTATACTTTCATGGTCTTAAATCTTTTCCTGCCCCCAGCCCCCTTGTCAGTCTTATACTCTGCTGTCCCTGTCTGAGTGGAATAACACTGATAAAGTCCCACAGCTGCCTATCAAATTCTTGTGAGCCAGAGAGTGCGCATGCGCTGTGCACTCCTTTCAATCCTATAGAGAGTTCTTACTCTGCTCTGCATACGAACTCTCTATTGGTTTGAATGGAGAGTACACAAGCTACATACAGGCCCAGATTAGAAGATTTTGAAAAGCGTCTTTGCAATTTTATCTATGGTCTCTCACTGGGTGAAGGAGAGGTGAGTATTAAACTGTTAGGAGGGCTGGGGGCAGGAAAAGGTACAGTACAAGTACAACTGCACAAAATGTCTTGTGTCATGCAGTTTGCCTTGAAGTTGGCCCTTTATTTGTGTACATTGTGCTATCCTCTTGTAAAGAATAGAGATATGGCTGTAAATACAGGTGTGGATTGTTCACTGCACAGGAACATGCAACTTGGTAAATGTAGTATTGTACAAATGTGTACACACCCTTAGAGCAGGTCAAAATGTCAAGTGCAGCAACCCATAATAACTAGTTTTCATCAGCAATCATAATGGAAAATGTCTGTGGTTGCTATGGGTTATTGCACTTTGTCATGTTAATAAAAGGTTGTCATGTTCAATTCATGTTCTGCACAGCTAGCTCCATATTTAAATACTGTGTCATGACATTTAGCAGGTTGGACAGCTAGCTGCCCTTCTTTTTGCTGAGGAACTGCATATTCCACAATGCCTTGTCGTGGTGGGGTTTGTAGTTCAACAGCAGGAGGGCTGTAAGTGCCCGGCTGAGATATTATAGAATGATCTGTTTCAGGATATCTGTCAGATTCTGTGAGCACGAAAACATTGCAGCTTTTCTAAATGTTTCTTTACTGTTGGTACTGTCTGTCCATATTGTACACTAGAGAAATCGGAGTGCGTTTCTGAAGATATAAGTTTTGTGTGTGCTGAAAAATCAACAAAGAGATGCTGGGTCATGATTTTAAATTAAAAGCACCGTTCAAGTCTGTGTTGGGAATCTTAATAGTGTTCTTTATTTTACTTTGTACATTAGTTTAAAATAGCATGTGTAATATGGAAAACCATTTTGTAAAGTTCACAGTTCATTCTATTGATAGCACTTTGATATTGTATGTCATGAACTAACTCAGCGTACAATGATTCTCTTCTGCAGTTTTCTCCTTTTTCTAGTGTCAGAATTGCTTAATGCAGTTTCCATCAATAAACTTACACGGGAAACATGGTGTGCACAGGAAAAATTCTTCCCAACAGCAGCTTTATCTCAAAAACCTTTCATTCCTTCAAACGTGTGTGTTGTGATGATGGATGTACTAACTGATGTGTCATTTAAGGTTACAGTGAGTGTCCTTTATGTGCAAGAGCTACTGCTAACTTTCACAGGTACTCCTATAAACGATTCTCGCCTTGACATGTTTGTGACGTCTGTTTCAGCTGTGCAGCCATGTGTGCTGTTAGCTGAGGCACCAGAATGACTGTTGTATCCCTCCATGGAATGCTTAGACTGGAAGTCAGCTGAATTTGGGTAGATGCTACCCTTGTACTCCAATATAGTCCTCTCTGATGATCTTCAACATACTTTTGCATATAAAAAACACAATGTATTCTACAGTTTGTAATGTGCTCAGTTGCCTTGGAAATGTCATAAAACAAACAGGGGCAGCCATTGCAGATCTGAAATCCTATTTGTCTTCTTGTCATACTTACTGGAGCACAGCAATGACTGCCCATATTTTATTTTTTTTTTCCCCCTCTCAACAGGTGTTCATTATATTCAGGGTGTAACATGTTATGAATGCATCGGCCCCCGGCTCTCCAGCTTTGACAGCTAGAGGGGATCTTCTCTTCGCCCCCGCTAGCTGTCAAATTGTAAAAATGTGGCTGTGCGGGGCTCTGCCCAACCGGCCGGGTCACTCATTCACTGTCCTCTGTGAATGAGAAACTACAGGTCCTGACATCCTTAGCGGCTGTTGGCTTGTAGATCTCTTTGAACTACCACAGCGCTGTGGAGCACCATCGTAGTTCATTGATTTTTCCTGTCAGATCTGCTTGCTCGTACACCTCGTACATCCCTGCATGGCACGAGCGATCTGCTGATCGTTGTTGCAATGGTTTCCAGGCTCCTGCAACCAAAAATAATATATGCACATTTTTTTTTTCTACCTGCGAACAAATGTGCATTTTATTATTGTTGGTAAAAAGGTGAACTTATCCTTTAACTAAAAGCAACCTGACTACCAAATTGAAAGTTACTTTAAAATGTGCATGTAAAGAAAACAGTGAATACTTGCCTTTCCTGTTGCTAAGTTGAAAGACTCCTCCAGAAATTACACTTCCTGGAATGCTGACCTGGATTCCCGGCGTTGCTCAGTGTTTCCTCCCTCCAGTCCCTGCTTCACTAGTGTCCTGTAGAGGTGCAGGGGTTTGTGGAACCACTGAGTATTCTGTTAAGCTCTGAAAAAACACATGTACTGAAATTTGACGGGTTCAGCAGGAACCAGCCAAATTCATGTCCGTGCGTACTGTTGTCTGTTCAACAGAAGCCAGTCTAAGCACTGATTTCCGTCAAATGGTCATGCTGGAAAACTAGTATTTGATGGCTACAAGCGTTGATCAGTGTACATTGGGAGGAGTCCCCCCTGTCAGAATACAATAAAATAGTGGGGAAAATTCCTGCATCAACATTGCTTGTGTGGAGATCTGTCAGTTTTGTTCAGTCAACCCTCTGGTTGAACGAATAAGAACTGTGTGTATACCCAGCTATAGTCACAGGCATCTGACACTCCCTGACTTCAGCCAGCTGGTTTCCTTCAGTGGATTTGTGTTCAGCAGCTTGAGTATTCACGTTCTTCTTTATACCTCATTTTATGAGCACTTTCAGTTTGGTGACAGGGCCACTTTAAAAGCAGACCTTGCATCAAAAATAGGGTACCTCTGTTTAGTATAGCCCCACCCCTGCATGTAAAAATGTTAGGAATGTGTTACCGAATACCAGGAGTAAATGGAAAAAAGTTACTCACCTTTAAACCTGGTTTCTAGTGTGCTAGCCTGGGTGCCAATGACGTCTCACTCACTCTGCTGAGGTTCTGAAATCTTGGAAGAATGTGCTCCTGTGCAGTGCAGGGTGGCATTTTTGTGAAATTTTACATCCCTGGGATGGAGCTTATTTGCACCCAGGCGAGCATGCCAGAAGCTGGGTGTATGGTTACTAACTTTTTTTTTTTTCCTCCCATTGATGTTTTGCTTGAATTTTTTCCCCCAACTTTTTACATATAGGAGAAGGGGCTCTACTTAATAAGAGTAATTTACATTTTAATGCAAGGTCCCTTTTTGAAGACCAAAATTAACTATACAGAAATCATATGGCTTAAAATTTCCTAAATATGGATAATTTTTTTGTGTGGCTAATGTTCATGAAAAAAAAAAGAACCAGTCTGGATAAAAGTAAAGCTGTCAATGAGTTAATTTATGATGATACAGACCCTTGGGGTTGTCATCCTGGCATCACTACCTAGTGATGATCTGACCTAGAGAGGGGTTCTTGTAGGTCACTGATTCAGCAATAAAGTCAGAATGACAGCCCTGGAGCTTATCCCTTCAATAGAAAATCCAGTCTGTCCTGTATTTCCTGCATTGTTCTTTAACCACTTGCCTACCGGGCACTTATACCCCCTTCTTCTTTACCAGGCCAATTTTCAGCGCTGTCG